TTTAGTAGGATAATGCATCTGTCTCGTTTAGCTATAGCTTCAGTCTCAGTGATTTAGGCACTGAAAAGTAATATTCTTGAGTGTGGAATTATTAATCCTTTTCAGGTAAGTAAATCCACTGGTAGCTAGGAAGAAAAGACTAGGTGAGAAAGCATGTTAAAATTCTGCTTAAGGCACTGGTAAAGATGTCAATCTTTCACGAGCTAGGAGGGATTCAAGTTTTATTTTGCTGGGTGACTACGTTGAGGCTCAGAGGACTGTGTGTCTGTCTGTCTGTCCATCTGTTTCTCTTGTTAAATCACTTGGAAGCTAAATACCTGTTCTAAGTGCCTAACTTGGATTTACCAGACTTGTCAGCTTTTAGGTAATCGAGTTTTACCCTCAGTGTAATTATTAGCTTTAAATATTCAGAGCAGAGAGCATAGTTCCCAGGTAGGAGATGCTGTTTATAAAGGGCAGGTACCAGTTTGGGGTGGGTGCAGCCGGCAGGGGCTGTGGGACCAGATGTGAGCAGCAGCCAGGGCTGCCTGTGCTGGACACAGACAGCTCCAGCTCATCCCCTGCAGCCAAGATGGTGGCACTTCAGGGAAAAAACACTTGAGAAAAAGTAGGATGCCACAAAGGCAGGGTGTGGGGAGTGAGGGAGGAAAAAAAGAATGGTGAAAACCATCTCTGCAGAAAGCAAGGTCAGAGAAGGACTGGAGGTGGTGTTGTGGGCACTGGAGCAGGATTCCCCTGCAGCTCTTGGAGTGCACCATGATGGAGCAGACATCCAGTGTGGAGGACCCTTCCTTGTGGTGGAGCCAGGCATTTCCTGAAGCAGCCTGCAGCCAGTGGAGAGGAGCCTGTGCAGGAACAGGTTCTGACAAGAGCTGTGGTCTGTGGAGAACCTGCTGGAGCAGATTTATCCTGCACGACTGCAGCCTATGGAGTGGACCCACACTGGAGCAGTCTGTGAAGGACTGCAGCCTGCAGTAAGGACCCACACTGGATCGGGGACACAGTGTGAGGAGGAAGGAATAGCAAAGAGGAAACATTATGGACTGACTGCAGCTGTTTCCCATTTCCCAGCCCCTGTGGTGCTGGGTGAGGTGGAGGAGTTGGGAATGTAGGGGTAGAGTTGAATCTGGGGAAAAATGAGTGGTAGAGAGTGTCTTTGTTTCTCATCATCCAACTCTATTTTAATTTCCACTAAATTGAGTTTTCCCCAGTTTGAGCCCATTTTGTCTGTGATGACACTTGGTCTCCCAATGTCCTTTTTCTTCCTGGTTTTTCTCTTGACCCACGATGAGCTTTCTCATCTTACTTTCTCCCACTGGGCTGCTGAGGAGGGGAAGTGCAATAGCAGCCGAGTGGGCATCTGGCAGCCAGCCAAGGCCAACTCACCACTCATAAGGATCGTGATTTTAAATATGAAGCTGAGCTCTACTCACTTCTTAAAACTGCCTTGTGAGAGCTGGCATTTAGTGACAGTTTTGGCATTGCAGGTCCCAGGTGGTTGGAGCCATCTCTCTGGGGCCCTGCAGAAGGTGTTTGTGGAGCCTCAGGTCTCTTCAGGACTTTCCTGCTGGCTGGCTCCTGTTAAGTGCTCCTCAGTTGGTTACTTGCCATATTTTGGATCTAATGTTGAAATGCCAATCTTCCCCCTAGACTATTAAAAACATTATAATTAGGGTTCATAGAGGCCTGGAAAATAATTCTTCTTCATCAGATAGCTAGTAATTTGTCAGAACATTATGGGTTTTATGCAGTGCCAAACCATGTTGCTTCAGGAGGTCTTAGCACCTGCACTGTACCAAAATTGCACACTTTCATCCACTCTTCCTACCTCCTCCCAAAATATATATTAATGTATTTTATTACTTAATAGTAGAGGTGTATTTCTGTGAAATTCCCCCCCTTCTTTCCACCAGTACAGTGCAGAATAAGAGTTCAGACACACTGTATATTGAATGCGAATTTTACAGCTGAAATAGTTGTAAGGGATCTGAAATGAGCTGAAATTTTACCTACATATTTTTATTTATAACTTTTTAACCTTCATCTTTCTAGGGTGAGCAGGCCCCATTTTCCTTTCCCTTTACAATATCTTTAATCATTCTTGCCATCCTATTACCTTTCTGCTGTTATTCTGCTTTATCGTTCTGTTTAAGAGAATCAATTTTATTGTTTTTTGTGTCATTAACATGTTCCATGTATACATTGTCAGCTGTTGTGTCAGCAAGCCTGCCCTGCAGTGAGCACATTGTTTCACTGAGCTGCTCCTGTGTCATGAGTTCATAGATTGGTTTGGGTTGGAAGGGACTATAAGGACCATGTAGTTCCAGCTCCCCTTCCACTAGAGCAGGTTGCTCAAAGTCTCATCCAACCTGGCCTTGAACACTTGGAGGGATGTGGCATCCACAGAATCTCTGGGCAACATGGGCAGTGTTTCAGCACCATCATAGTGAAGAATTTCTTCCGAATGTTTAATCCAAAACTACCCTTTCAGGTTCCCTTTCTGACAGCGTGTGGTTCATCTGGAAGCATGTAGGGCAGTAGTTTTCATGCCTTTCACCTGTATTCATGGGTTTCCATTTGCCTGTGTTGCACATCACTTATCATCAGATTGAGAAATTGCTCTAGTTGATATTGGCCACCTTGAGGTTCCCTGAACTTTTGTTTCTCTTGCCTATACAATTTTTTTGCTGTCCTGAGATCTTATTGTATCACCACTCTTTCTTTCCATCAGCATTATTAACAACAGCTTTTCCTACAGAGCCCTGAGGAATACTGTTATTAAACTTCTGCAGTGCTGAAGGTGACTATTTAGTCCTGTTCTTGCTTTCTGTCTTCTCGGTTTTTTAATCCAAAATAGTGTTTGGCTTCATATGCTATTATTTGCTTTTTCTTCTTTAGTGGCATAGCTTTTGAAAGTTTAAATAAGGTTTCCTGTATTCAGTGCTCCACCACACACTCACGCCTTTCAGGAGGTCTGGAATATCTAATTCCAGTATCTATTAAAAGTGTTTAATTCCAGATTAGTAATATCCAATTTCAGCCGTTTCAGTTTTAAGTTTAAATAAATATTGTACTTAATGCTTTTTAACCAAATTTTCAGGAGCTGATGCACAAATGCATCTGGAAATCCATGTGCAACACTTAGTGTTTGAAACGTGGAGGGGCATTGTTCACTGATCTCCAGTTTCAGAAGCAATGTGTCTTCTCAGTGAGGGAATCCATGGTGTTGGTACCAAATTATCTACATCATTCCAAGACTTCCGAAGGCTTTTGTTATCTCATGCTATTATTGTTTTAATAGTTTTGGTTTTTTAAGAGACTTGCTTACTTTGTTGGAGATTATAAATCAGGTGGCCCTTGTTTTTAAGAACTGCTGTAGGTAGACATCAATCCAATTGTGAATCACCAGAACTGATAAGTGTAACTGTTAAGTATCAGAACTAGTCAAAAACTTAATTCAGTACTAAATTTGCTCTGAAATAACATCTTTAGACAAAAGGTTAATGCTTTGTTACTTACCTTATGAATAATTCTTCCCATCATCAAGCTTTTAAAACTCTGAGTTATGTTTTTAACATAAATTATCTGCACTTCAGAAGTTAATTCTTCTGAGTGAACATTCCAATCTGAGAGTGGGTTGAAAGAATTAATTTTTTTTTATATCAATGTGTGATAAAAATGTCCATTTTCTCCCTTGTAAAACTTCAGTTAATCAGCATGAACAAGGCTCAGTTTAAGGTGGGACACAGTTAGACTTTAACTGATTTACACTGAGGCAAAATTAGTAATGGGGAGTATTAATTAAAAAGTTTGAATATTAAGTGATGCCCAAGGCTGTTTCTAGAGTAATTTCATTATTTCTGGATTAAAAAAACCCACCACTTTAAAATACATTAAATAATTTAAAATGTTGTATATTATTTTCTTTAAATGTGTGGGAATTGAGTGGATGGTAAGTCAGGTATCTGTTTTTTAAGAAAGTGGGTGCATAATGTTCTAATAGTGAGCTTTGCTTCAGGAATAATTCAGGTCACAAAGTTAGTTTCTGAAAGATCTGTATTTCGTTTGTTGTTGAAGGTAGATCTTGTATGCTCGGTGAGACAGAGGATTACAGGTGAGAAATGGACACAACCTAGTGTGAGGGAGTTGATTGATCCTGAGAGAATTTCATTCTAGTCATATTTCAAACAAAAAAGGTTCCTGAATGGAGTTTCAAAACCTTTTTCTTTTTTTCTCCTTTTTTAAAAATTCGAAGCTTTCACTGGAAGTCTTTCAGTCCTTCATTTTTAAGACACTTGTCTTGAGTCTTAAAACTCATTTTGTAAGTGGTAGATGTGATATGAATTTGGAAAGGCATTGAAGGTCAGATCTGGAAAGGAATTCAGGCAAATTTTTTAAAACTTGTAGGGGATGAGCTGCTAAATATCTTAACAGAGAATGTTCTGAAGTATTATAATAAACCCCCCTAGTGTGTGTTTAGTGCAGAGTTTTAATAATATAGAATTATAGTATGGCCTACATTAAGCTAAGGGGTAAATGTCATTAATTATCTGCTTGGTTAATAGGGATTTTTGGAATAAAAAGCTTAATCATAAAATAGATAAAATTAGCACAGGGGTATCAATGTAAAGTGGAATGGGTTGTCCTAGCACATGTATTACCTGGCTTTTTTGCTTGACTTTCTCACTAACCTTCTTTTAATGAGATTTTAAATGTAATTTCATTATGAATAATAGTTATGACAGTGTAGGTAGTCCATAAAGCCCATTGGCTAAAAGAATATGGTGTCATGTAACCCTTTCTCTTTGGTCATGATGAATCTTTGCTAACACTTTTTTTTCTGTCTACTGCAAATAAATCAAGAAACACATGTCATATGTGTGTGTAAATATCACTGACTGTTCTTCCAATGGTTGAAATTGCCTTTTGCTGTTCCACTGTTTTAATAAAGAGCTATTTTTAAGTACTGAGCAGCCTTCATAATTTTTTTCCCATTTCAGCTGTCATTTAGATGTTGATATGTAAAACAAAATGGCAAAAATCAACACCCAGCACTCCTACCCTGGTACGCACAGCCTGTCTGTCCAAACTGCTGATGAAGATATCGAAAGGATTGAAAATGGCTATATCAGGTAATAGTTTCCTTTCATCACAGTCAAGAGGAGAGATTCCTGCATAATTTGTGGAATTCCTGTAGCTGACAATGGGAGGTAGAATTGTAAGAATATTGTGTTGTGATATTGTTGGCCCAGTGCACTTAACAGTACACCAGACTTGACAACATCTATCCAAAGTACAGAAGAGACAGACACAGGGAGATTGTCATGGCTTGCAGCTTTGGAGCCAGGAGCTGTATTACCTCAGGAAAAAAAGCCAATTTTCATATCAGAGGGAATTACACTAATTCATTAAAGAGAAACCTCTTTCTCAAGTCACCACACAGATAGCAGGGTCTGTGCTTCCAACAGAGTATGTAGAGAAAAAAAAGATCCTTCCAGCACCATGCAGTGAAGGCTTGGGAAGGTCCTTTGTAAAAGCAGCCTGTGCAAATTGCCTAGTTCCTGTGATAGGGAAAATCTGTAGTGTATAAAGAATATCAGCATTTTTGTTCTGGATTTTCAGAGTGTCTCACTGTACAGAGGAAATGTAATAGTTTCTTTACATTCACCTTTCTCTAGTTTTGATAGTTTTAAAGTGGCTGTTTGAAACGTGCCAGTGAGCTTACACTTACCTACTGCACAGTGCCAGTCATTCCTCTAGACTGGACAAAGCCTGCTGGGCCTGTGGAAAGATGCCTGATGATCCATGGCATCTGTAAAAGTTATAAAAATTTTTCTGCTTTTGGCTTGTTATGACCAACCACCTTCTCTATGTGGACCTTGTCAGGCTATTCAAATGCACACCCAGATTACAGCACCCAGAATCCTGATGGACTGATGGGACTCCCTGCATTATGGTGATTTTTGGATTGCACGTCCCTAACAGCTGCTATGGATGCTCTGTTTGAATTGGTCCCTTTTTGATTCTTGCTTTGCTTACATGATACCTTCTGTCACACTTCTGTACCTACAGCAGTGAAAATGGATCTGGTTTGTTCTGCACACTAAGGCTTGCTTGTACTTACACTACACCCTGGTATCCTTAGGGAAATTTAAAAGAGCCTTGTCCCTATCTCTCCATTAACAGTGATGTGTTAGAAAAAGTGAAAACACAGGTTGAAATGAGCCTCTTCCTTTCCTTTTTTTTTAACATCCTATTTGTAGCAAATGTCAGTGATTGGCAGCTCACAGAATGGAATTACTGTCAGGGATGTGAGAGTGGGGTTGTAAAGGTTAAATATAGAATTAAATCCCTGTGGTCATCTGCAATTTCAGAGGCAGTGACTTTGACAGATACAGGGACTGAAATAGAAATTGCACTTTATCATCATGGTCTTGAAGAGGCATTTTTTTAAAGGAAAGTTTGATACTATCAGCATTCATTGCTGGACTTCATAGATGGGTAAGAAGATACAGTCTTGCTCTGTAAAAGAGATCTCATATTAAAGATTTTTGGATTGTTGAAATGATTGCTGGTAAGTATATACAATACCTTTATAATACCATTCAAAAAAAAATTTGTTTTTTATAAATTCAGATTTGCTTTAGGATATGTCTGTACCAAAAGATAGAATCCATCCAGGACTTCAGTTCTTCTCTTTCTTATATCAAAATATGCAACTATAGATATTGGGGAAAAAAGCACATTTGCTAGAATAACAGCATTTCTTCTTTGCCTTTACCTTCCTCCAGCTCCTGTTGACTATAATTCAACAAAGCAGTTAAACACATTACTTCGTTCTTATTAAAGTCAGTGGGTGTTAAATTTATGCTTAATGCTAAGAATGTGCTTAAGCACTTTTCTGCTGTGAAGTGAGGTGTTACCAAGAAGAAGCATTCACTGCAATAGTTAACAGAAAGCTGCTACTGATCTTTAAAATGCTGTGCTCATTTATGCTGCAGTGATTCATGTGCCCATATTCTTACTCTGTAGTGTGTTATAAAGTTGGTTCATTTTGTTAAAACAAAAATCAACCCCCCCCAAAATAACAAATGAATCTCCATTTTTAAAACCCAGCGTCTGTATAGAAACAGCTTAAATAGGAGAGGCAACACATTAGCTTATAGACACAGGCTAAAGTTGAAAGTAGGATTCAGTGTCTTTATGTGAGCAGGTGCCTGTGTTCCTGCTGTCCTCAGTGGAGATGTGGTCAGTACTGATGGTCAGCAGCACCCAGGGAGCTGCTCAGCTTACCCTCAAATTCAGTAACTCTTCAGGCTCCTTTGGCTCTCTTGATTATGAGAGGTATTTAGTTGCCTAAAATAGGCGTCTAATGCTATTTGAGATACCATGGAGTATTTGAAGCATTTAGCTGGTGCTAGTGGATGTGAGGAGAGACCTGTGTGCTCTGGAGAGGTCCAATAAAGCATTCTCAGGTGTACCAGACTCCTATTCTGAAGCAGCTGAAACAATTCCTGAGATGGCCATTGGCTATAATGGAAACCTAGATACTTATTAGGCACTGCCATTAACAATATTAGAATTTATTGCTAAGGTCGCGCAAAATGTGTATTACTTGGTAAATGGGAATAAAAGTACTTAGAAGCAGCCATGGTAGTGCAGTCTAAAACACTAACTAGTCCAGTATTTTTTCTCCAGCAGGTCTGTAAGCAATTTCTCCAGGAAATACTAAAAAAGGAGCCAAACTCTGCTATTCTCCCAGCATTCAGCTCAAAAGAGTTCTTAGGCTGCATGTGGTAATCTGTGATGAATGCCTGTTCCATAAGTTTGTTCATTGTCCCTTGGAAAGATGTTAACTTTGGCAACCACAATATTCTCAGCACTGGCAACATAAACTAGGTTATAAAAGTTTTCAGTACTAAATGGTGTTTTGTTATTGGAAGAGTAGTGGAAAGCAGTTAACAAGTTGAGAATACTGGGACCATCAGGTTCTATTGTTCTTTGAGTAGAAATAATAAAATTTTAACTTTTTGTCTGTTAGTTTCTCAGCTGTGAGTGCACGTAAGATTGAGCTGCTAATTATGAATTATCCTCTTGTGGCCATTCAGAATGCTGCTGCCAGCTCTTATGAAGACACTGCAAGTATCATTTTAGTCAGTGTTTTCCTGGCAATACAGATTAACAGACCCATGTGAGAGTTCTTGTTTGCATTACAAAGGCAGAAAAAAGTGATCCTTAATGGATGTAACAAAGTCTTGCAAAAGTGAATACTAAAGACTGAAAAACAAGGAGTACTATAAAAAAATCTGGAGTGAACCCTCATAAAGTTCAGGTTCCAGTGAAGTCAATTTCAAAACTCCATTACTGGAAGATAAGGCTAAAAGTTAATTTTTTTTCTCAAATGCTAATTTTTAAAGTGCCAATAAGTAGTGTTTAGCTTCTGAGCTTGCTGGAATGCAAGGCCAGTTCATACTGGATGGCTCCAGAAGAATAGGTGCACAGGCTTAGCAATATTGTTATCAAATATATGCTGTATTACTAGGGAGAGGACAATTTGCTGGACTGTTTGCTGATGGAGTGGTGGAGAGAACCAGATGGGGGTGAGTCTGGTGAAGACTGCATGGAATTCCTTAAAAAAATGAATTGTTTTTGCAGAACGCATTCACTTCGTGAGGATGCATGTTCAGAACTGCAGGGAGTCATTTCTATGGAGGGAGGACATGTACCTGAATCCCAGGCGAGCTCCTTCACTGGCAGGGGAGCAATGGCAAGGTAAATTACTAAAATTACTAAAATTACTTTGAGATGTAAAGGCCCCCACTCAGCAAGCGTATTCTGTTGCTCTTGCTGTGGTGATACAGTAGAATAGGGACTGATGTGGGAGGTATTTTCCTAATCCACTGCAGAAGGCGATGTACGAAATTGTGGCGAGTGACTGGGTTCACAGTTACTCATCAAGTTTAATTTGATGCCAGGTGGAGATGTGGGCATGTTTTAAACCACCTCCTGTTTCTGTCTGGTTCAGTGGGTTTTGTGTGTGTGTTCCATGCAGGCTGTCACGATTTGTCTTATCTGTGAGGTCATGGGCCACAAGGCACTCACACCCTGATGACCAAAGGCCTGATTCTTTCTTGGAACGTATCAGAGGGCCAGAGCTTGTAGAGGTGTCCACCAGGCAAAGCAACATCCGCTCCTTCCTGGGTACCCGTGAGCGGCCCGGGGGAGCAAACAGGTAAGAAGAGGTGTTTATAATTAACTGAAGATGGCTGAGATTATCATGTTTTCTTGGTAATTAGGATGTAAGTTGTATTTTAAGAAGAGAGTAAGGAGCTTAGCCTGGGAGATGAACAGAGTATTTAATGCTGCCCAGGAATCTTCACATAACTCAAGTATTGCACTTTCAACAGACTCTCTCTTTCCTCTTCAAACACACTGTGACCATGATCTTGAAGTAAAGGATTTTGATCATGCTGCTTGAGGCAGAATGATTTCTCAGAACTGGGATATTATCAAATGCAACTTGATGTTGCTAAACTGCTCTCAACTGAGGAGAATGCAATTTCTATTTCAAGAATCTAGGATGTTTCTACTTTTGGCTTTTCAGGATCTTAATGTGAGTTATTTGCAAGTATTAGGAAACTGTAAGGAAGCAGTTGTGCAGAATGTGTCATTGCTTTGCTACATCTACTCAGAAGTCCATCTGATAACATTACAGAAAGTTTTTGATGCACAAATGATAAAATCCTTTGGATGCTGACTTCACTTACTAGCACATATGCAGTCTGCGGTATGGAAGGCAGGTTCAGTCCTAATTTTTTTCCAATAAAACAGAAGAGAAACCTTTATGTGTTTACAGTTCTTTGACTTGATGAGTTATTATTACTTTATAAATGTATGATATGGTGTTTCAAATTTAACTCCAGTTAAAATGGGAAAATGAAGTCCCCAGACAAAATCTGACTTTGGGTATTGAAGCAGAGACTCCTATATTCTTTTGCATAATTAAAGATTGGTAGGTAAGCAAGTAATTAGTTTCAAAAATCTCAGCGAGCAATTCAGATTAAAGCAAAAACCTTTGAAGATTTGTGCATTATGCAGGTTACTTTGACTTGTTGTAGTTCAGCACATCCTTATTATCTTCATTTGATCTGCTCCATAGAAATTCATTTCAAGAGCACATTTTATTGAATTAGCCAGACTGTTGCCTGATTTCTCAGGTGTCTGGATCAGTAGCAACTGCAGATGGGAAGTAATTAGAGAGAACATTGATCATGGGCCAACAAACCTATGTAAAAGGCTCTTTAAAGTCAATTTGAGAGCACCCATCCTTGCCTTTTCAGTTTTATGCTGTTGCTGGTTGACAGTAACTCTCAGTGGTTGTGTCATGAAGGCTTGATTCTGCAACAATGGATAGGTATGCTCATTACTTATCCACAAGCCTTGACACTGCATCTGTGAAGAGGACTTGAAAGGATTGAAGAAAGCTTAAAATAGTAGTCCAATGAGTACAGGGCTAAAAATAGTGAGGTGCATCTTACCATGCACTAATACGCCTAAGAACAGACTTCAGACATCAGATGTGGTCACAAATGTGTATGCCAGGCACATGACAGAAAGGAGCTGGTGCCTTGAAGCAGTTATGCAAAGGGGCTTATCACAACAGTCAAAATTGACCTTGCTAATCTTATCAGTGCATTTGTGAGAAGCTCGTGAATCAGTCTGTCATGTCAGTAAACACGTGCATGAAATACCAGCAGCCTTTACACTCTTTAATGTGTTTTATTTAATTTGCTTGCAGTCACTGGCCCTTGGCCAGGTTTAATGTCAACTTTAGCAACAACACCAATGAAGAGTAAGTACTGTTAAGTTCCAAAGACCTTTCTGCTACCAGCACCTTCTCTTCTTCCCTATCCAATCTAGTAACATTTGTAGTATAAACTCCTTAGTTCTTCCTAATCCTTTCCTAAGAGTATAGTTTTATTGTAGAGAAAGGTCTAGTTTTCTTAGTATGAAAAGCATCCTTTGTGCTCCCAGTGAACTTCTTTGTGGCTGAAGTTACCCCTTCCTCTCAAGAAATGAAATTTGACTAAGCATGTAGTCCCTACCTTCTGTAGTTCAGCTGGCTGATTTTACTGCATTACTGATGGATGCATTATTTAAATGAGATTCATGTCATGTATTAATTATCTAGTAGTGGTTTTCCTCTTTTAACACACTGGTCCCTTTCTGCAAATCAAATGCCCCAGAAATTTCAGGTTGTCAGATGAGAAGTGGATACTGATGAGGGCACCAAAAACCATTTATATGTCCATATTTTAAAAGTCTGTGTTTCAGATCAGCAGGTACTGTTTTTTTAGAGAGACAGGCACCATAATAAAGCTGGTATTGCCACAGAATGTCTGACAGAAGCTGTCCTTTTGAGTCTGTTTTATATAATTGACAAGCTATTTCACAGTGTTACACCAAAGAGAAATTTATTAAACAATGAAGAGCTCCTGTAATTTTAAATCAGCTAACATCAATATTTGTTGCATGTCTTAGACCACAGCAATCTGAAGACATACCTGCTCTTTAGTATCCAGCAGATCTGTTCTTGTGCATAATGATAGTTGTTTTCATTGTTTTCCAGATGAAAACAAACAAACAAACAAAAAAGTAACCAGTACATTTTCTGATTGTGTCAGAAATACATCTAGAAAACTCTTGGTTTTTTTCTCCAAGTAATTCTATCATAGGCAAGTTTAAACTATACCTTTTGAATGATGCTGCAAAACCTTTGTGCATGTAGCTGAACAAAAGATCTTCCTACTCCTAAAGCAACTTTTTGGTTTGGTTTGCATAACTTTTGTTCAAAAGGAAAATCTGTGTGTAGTGAACAGTGACAGAAATATGCAGACTTTTATTTAGACTGATATAAAAGAAGTGCTATAAGCTTGGAGCTGAGCCTGCTAGATGGAGCCCAGAGAACTGGTTTGGACAGAAATATTTCTGCCTTACTCTGTTTCTGACAAGACTCATGTACCTTGGACAAAACTTTCATCCTTTCAATGTTTCATTATTTTTAAATGAAGACAAGACCTGTCTGTCTACCTGCCCAGCAGTCTGAAACATATTTGATTTGCAAAGTATTTGACAGATGAGAAATGCAGATATTTGAATCTTTCAAAGACTGTGACAGTGTTTTTATAAGGGCTGATGAAGTAGCTTTCTAAGTCTGAAGCTGCACACAGCTTAGAAACAGCATGGATGCTGCAGTGTTGGGGTCAAAGAGAACAGACACAAACTGTTTTACTGGTTACTGGATTCAAGTTTACTCAGTGTTACTGGTAAAGAAAAGAAAATGGGCTTTTAATTATGGTAAAGACCTAAGTGTGCCAAGTCTTGGGGAACTGTACGTGATGCCCTCATGTCTTTGATCATGGCCAACCTTTTCCTCTGAGTGACTTCCATTACCAGACTGCAAGCAGATGGGAGTATGATAAGCTGGGAGTTACCACAATAGAGAGATGAAAAAAGGCAACAGAAATGGAAGAAACTCACTTATGAAAGGTACCTGTAGTTTGACAGACGAGTTTGTAGGAGACCTCAGGCCAGAGAAAAATAAGTATTGGTATTAGATGCTGTGTGAAATAAAGTTTTTTACTTTTTAAAAAATAAAACACAAACATAGGAGGGAGTTGGAATTGTCAAAATATTCCCCCCAAAGTTCACTACCACTGAGACTTTTTGACTGATTTTCTATCAACCTACTTTTCCCTGCATAACAAGATCCACAAATGTAAAGTAGCCCTCCTCTTTGAAAATTCTGCATACTCATAACTCTTCCATTCTGGTAAGAATGCCAGGCATTTGAAGTATTGAGGAGCTGCATTACTGCTAACAGCAAGTGTGCATTTGCCTTTAGATCAGACACCATGCATGGTAATCTGCAGTGAAATCCTGACATGTTTTTTAAACGGGAAGGAGTTGAGGGCAGATTGGAAAATGAAGCAGTAAAGTTCTGGACATTCAGTCCAGAGAAATAAATTCTTGATAAGCAGTTCTACTGCTGTGTAGGAATCAGTCTTGGTAAATGAAAAAAATCTTTCTTTGATTTGAGATGCAGGTAGAAATAGAAGATCAGTCAATCGAAAGGTTCTTTTCTCCTCCAGTTCTGCTCCCTTGCACTGTGTAATTTCAAAGGTTTCAGTGGTGTTGGTATTCCCCTGGATGTGGCAGAGGGGAGGATCTTACCATTTTTTAGCAAATGAGTCTTTGCTTTTCCAAAGTACACTGTGGTGGTGCATCACTGTGGAAATGTCTAAGTGTAAGAACTGGAACAGGTTCTCCTTGCTGATTGGTGAAAGCTGCCACTATCTTAAAATTGGTGGCTGTTGTCTCCTTTGGAGCTTCTTTCTCCCTGTAACAAGCACATTCCTAGTTGTGACTGCCATTTACAGCACAGGCTTTCTGGCCTGAGCAATATGAGGAAGTGTGCATGGAAAGCCCAAGTCCTGTAAGCAGCATTATTACATATTCTGTCCTTGCTGAGGGGATGTTGCTGTCATTAAACTCATTTGTCCTTTCTTGACACCAGTGCAAAGGGAGACTCAGACCCAGTCTTGGCAGTTCAGAGGAGAAAACAAAGCTCCCATGGGAGCAGGAATCCATGGCTTTCATTCAAACCAGATATTATGTGTGGGGAGTTTTGTTATCCACATACAGTGTAGTGTGAGGAACACTCTTAGGCTTTTCTATCTAAGAGGGACACTTTCTGCTTCAAGGACTGGACAAATTTCAAATAAAAAAGGAGAACTCAGAGGATGGATTTTCTGCTTGTGCAAATGAGCACTGTTCCTCACATCACATTACATGATTCTTGACCAAAGCATGTAGCAAATCTAGCTTTAAGATTAAGTATTGTCAGAATCTCGAGAAAGATGTTAACTTCCTGTAGGTTTGAAAAGTGTTTGTGGGCCTGTCTGCAGAAGTTAACATATTTCAAGACTCTTCTGTTCAGGCAAACTTAAGAATGTGGCAATTCAGATCTGGAGGCAATTAATTAATTAAAATTTTGCTGGTTTTAAAAAATCATGAGAGAAGATCCTCATTTTTTATAATTACTATGAAAGCTTCAGACAGTCGCATTGAGGTTTTGGCTGTGCAAAGAACCTTGACAGTTTGTTAAACCATTTCACATTCTCATCATTTGATAGATTTCTTTTTAAATACCTGGATTCTTTAACTGAAAGCATTTACTTAAAATCAGCCTGGTACACTGATGTCTGAAAAAGTCAAGAAGGTGTGGGTCGCTAATGCAGGGAATCAGCCAGCTGGTTACCAGATGTGATAGTGTGGTAGTGTCAGGGTGAGAGATCTCAGCCTGTAAACTCTTTTTTCCAGTTGGATCCCTGTCCTACTCTGTCCAGAGTCTAGTCTTGTTTCCCAAACCTCCACCCTCTCCCTGAACTGCTTAGTATTGGTAATATTGCTAAGCCTTGCATTATTTTGTACAGCAAAAAGGAAGAAAAGAAAGAGGTTAAAGAGGAGAAAAAAGAGGAAAAGAAAGAGGAAAAGAAAGAGGAAAAGAAAGATGACAAAAAAGATGACAAAAAAGATGACAAAAAAAAGGAAGAGTAAGTACAAAGAATGAATGTGTGATTGTAGCACATCTCCTATGCTACAAAACATGGTATAGCATTTCATTGTAACACTTAAAATTGTTCTGTAGACTGCAAATTCTTAGCTTGTCAAATCTTTAATACATTTTCCCCTTTGAGAAGGTTTCAACTGCTCAGCAAAGTTGTTGTATCTTGAAGACCCGTGTTTAGATCTTTCAGAAACAGCTTCCTATGTCAGTAAAAGGGAATTGAGCTACCTCTGGTCACTTGGAGTTGAAGATCAGTTTTTAATTATGACAACACCTTAGGACAGCAACCTTCTTTGCAGAGTTGCACAGACTTTTCATTGTTCCAGAATTTCCATAAAGATTCAGAGCAGATGAACCAAAAGTCTGGTTCATCTTACCGTGTAGAAATATCTTACATGTAGCAAACCAAAGGTTTGCTAGTAAGTTTAGTTATTTCACTGACTGGTATATTTAATTACTTAATATGATCCAGTTCATTGCTATTAATCACTAAAATTTGCTTCTGTTGGTTAGGGGATGGTGTATTTCTGCAACAAAATGAGGTAATTTGAATGCTTTTGGCAAAAATGGATCCTGTTCTTGCTTTGTTCCTGTAAAGCTGACCCAAATATAGCACAATTTAGTATTATCAGTGATTAAAAGTAATGATGGCAGATAAAAAGAGAATGCATTTGGATGGCCTTCACAGTTAAGGAGTACGTTAGAGTATGATACTGTAGGTTTATATGTATGTATATGGTGGCACCTGCTATATAGACTTGAGGGCATTCCAAATGGACTCTGATTGATCTCAGGATCTTTATTAATCAAAGCTTTTAATTGTTTCTTTTTTTTTCAATTAGAAAGCCTTTGTTCAAAGCACTCCCTTTTGGCTTTAATTACTGTGTAGTGAAAGCCTGAGCTTTGCAGTAGCCAAGAGTGTTTTAAAACATTTTGTCAAAGAAAAATAATGTTTTAATGTCTACAAGGTAGTATACTCTGACATATAATGACCATATTTCATTTCACCCGTTTTGAAGTGGTCACCAGTTTTTGAGAAGAAATGGTTTAAAACCAGTAGTGAAGATGGTAAAGTAAATACTTTTTAGATTAAAGCTGCTTCGTTTACTCACATTGCCTGGGCATTCAGCTGACAGCAATGGTAATGCCAGGAATACACACAGATTTGAAATAAATTATCATTACATTTTAATATATTTGCATTCTTGGAGATGGGGAAAAGTCCCACAAATACTTATTCAAGCATTGCCTGGTCACATATTCTGCACACTATTACACAGTCCACAGATCACACTTCTACTGTTGACGTCATTTTGCAGCCTTGGACCTCATATCCACTACTGTGTGTGTCCTCTGATTACATGCCTAATCGCTCTCTATTCTGTATCAACCTTTCTCATGCTGGAGGTGGGCACTTCCCTGTGCCATTAGCCATGCTGTTCTTTAAACCTTTACATTCCAGGCCTGTGTGCTTCCTTTAGCATCACTTCCTTGTTGTGAGGCCTAAGGAGCCAGGACTGTGAATGCATAAAATTTCCCTTTACATACTAAGACATGTTTCAGCTCTAGTCACACACACTGTATGTGCATATGCACACAGAGATTCTTACTTGTACAGACATGTATTTGAATATATATGTGTTTTACTTGTTGAAATGCATGCTTATACAGTCATTTCCATAATAGAATTTGCTAAAAATCAACAATTAGCCTGCAAAAGAAGGCTCTTTCTCTAGCAATGAAATTTAACTTTATAACTGGAGTGATAATAAGAAACATTTAACAATTAACTTTTTTTTTTTTCAGTGTGGGGCTTAATACAGAAGGCTGTGGGTTTCAGCCTGGGAGATACGGATGTCTGTGTTTTTCTTTCCACTCTTATTTATTTTTTCCAAAGCTGGGTCAAACAAAGAAATAGAGCTTGTCAGATAGGATGCCTGGTATCTCATCTGCACTGCCTGCATGGATATTTCTCTTCTTGGGCAGCTATGAGTTCATGGTGAAATGAGCAACCTCAAGAAGAGGGAGATCTAGCAGGTTGCTTGCTTACATTTCCAGTGTAAATCTGCATGTTTTAATTTCCAGGCCGAAAAAGGAGGTCTTTGTGATAGATCCTTCAAGCAATCTGTACTACAACTGGCTAACTGTAATTGCAGCACCCGTGTTCTATAACTGGTGTATGCTAGTGTGCAGGTATGGACTTCAGTTAATAACAATTTTACATTTCAATCATTATGTTTCCTATGTAAATCACCCTCTTATCTCCCTGCAGTATCTTTTTGGTGACTTACCTAGAAGGTTTACAGTTCATATGCCCTTAGAGATGTATGGTACGTGTACCACTGGGAATAGATTGCCAGTGTTCCTTTTTTTTTTCCTTTCTCTAAAAGCAGGTGGATGTAGCTTGCAGAGAATGTCCTCATGAGCGCTGGTGTGGCCTTTGTGTGCCACCTGCCGGCTGGTGGCTGAGCTGTGTCCTGGCCACTGCATCCCTAAGCACTGCCAGGAATGAGGGCTTCCTACCACCCGGGAGAGAACAGAAAGGAGGGATGTGAGCAGTGGTGGGGCCTCTTAAATTCATATAATGCATCTTTTGGATGCTCAAAGGGCAGGAAGATTTAACTCAACTATTTCTTTCTCATGGTAGAATGTAGAAATCAGTTTCAGTCAAGGTGATGGAGGGCTGTAGAAATGGTTTTCTTACACTGTGTAAGTTGGTAGGGAGATATGAGGATGCTTTGCCACTGAGAAACAAATATTTGGGATTTATCTTCATGTAGATGCATATCATGTGAAATCTGATGCACTTTTAATTGTAGGGATATGTGTAATCCTCCATAAGTGCACTCGTGTGGCATCTCTGTGTTTGAGTTTTACTCTTGTCCAGAACACCTTGGAATTCTGCAAGATCCTGGTGTCTGTTTGGACGAAGTTCAAAGTGTGCAGATGTCTGGACATGGAGATACTCTGCCTGTAATATTTCTGTTCCAGAAATGTGCACTAATGTGTTGCTAGGGCACATAATGCAAATACTCTGCTTATGCAGTTGGCCTAATATTTTTTTTTTAATCTTTGTTACTATAGAGCCTGCTTTGATGAGCTACAAATGGACCATGTTAAAATGTGGATCTTCTTGGATTATCTCTCTGATATTATCTATATTATTGACATGTTCGTCAGGTTCAGAACAGGTGAGTCTTTCTGGGATTTTACAGTGTTTCCAAATACTGCATGTATTTAAAGGATGGAAACAAAAATTCCCCTGTGGAGTCTGACTACTGTAATATCCTGTCAGAACACAACACTGGAGGTTTTCAGAAGATGAAATGTCTGATCAGTCTGGATTCTTTAAGGCCGTACATTCCATCACTTGCTCTTTACTTGTCTCTAAATTCAGTTTTGTCAGTAATAGGTGTGTCAAATGCTGAGTGTACAGCCACTGTAACAGGCTGTGTGGGAAGGGACAAGAGGGCACTTGGGGCAGGAAACCAACTGCACCCCATAAGTGCTGTTTTCTTAACCAATTTCCTGCATCAATAACCAGAAGTGGTTATTGAGTTGGCCAAGTGCAAGACCTGGCACATGTCTCAGCCTTCAGTCTGTGGTCGTATGCGTGGAACAGGCAGTGTGGCCCCTCTGCCATCATCTGTGCTTCCTGCAGCCTCTATGAGGTCCTGTCTGGCTTTCCCACTGCCTGGTGATGGGATAGGGTTAACCCAGGAACCTCTGCTTAGGTCCTGCCTTCCTGGAGAAAATGTGAACCCAGAGGATCTGTGAGGGCTGTGCCATGCTCTGTGTGAAGTGGTTCTCTTCAGCTTCTTGTCCCTGTTTCTGTAATCCAGGCAGGCTGAGATTCCAACCTTAAAGTGATACCTGCTTTAAACTGAACAAGGTCATAATACAGGCCTAAGGAATGACGTACAGTGATCCATATCACCAAATTATTGAATAGTCCTTGATGCACTCTGGTGCTTGCACTTGGTCCACACCAGCAAGCACCCAGTGTCTGGGGACAACTAGGAGGACAACAAAGATTGGATGTTGTTCATGGTGGTGTTTTTGGAGGAGCCTGGAAGAATTTACATGTGAATGGAAGCTGTCAGGGTAGCTAATCTTGGGCCAGAAAATGTCTCCAGTCTCATTCGCTTCACTGGTGCAGACACAGCTTTAAATTGTCCCTTGAAGGAATCCAAAACAGCACTGATCATCAAAAAAAGAGAGTAATTTTAAATCTTTCCTTTTAACATCATATCCTTTTTATCTGTTTATTTATTTAAAGTTGTGCTGACAGCTTGATGCTAATTATGACCTGTGACAAGTTGTAAACATAATTACAAGATGGGCTAAAAATGCTGTCATGTGGGAAGCACACAACCCATGGCAAGCTAAATTCTTAAACTTAGCAAGTACCTTGTTCAACAGGAAAGTCAGTTTCAGGTACCAGTCTAAATCACAAGAGTGCTGTATTTGGGGCAGGATGGGGGTGGGGGGGTGTTAATCTTCTTTGTGTAGTTAAAATGTCAACTGTGCCAACTAAATTTACCTTCTGCAGTTACATCTGTTAATGTAATGGGAAAGAACAGAGCAGAAATTAGGCATGTCCCGGCAAAGAAAGTTATTAATTGCCATGGGCTGTCCTGATAATGATTATATGGCTGTTAAAGCCTGACTGGAATTTGAATTTTCAAGCCTGGCTTGCAACTGCAGAATTGCTGGAGCTGAATCCTGAATGCTTCAGTGCAGGTGTCTGCTGTAGTTCCAGGCACTCCAAGAAAGAATTTGCTTCTTTTAGGTGGCAAAATCTTCGTCAGTTCTCTTAACAGCCCCTCCTGGCCTCTGCCTTTGCCCTTTCCTGTGAGACCACAAGGTCCATCTGCCCTGGGGACAGAGGTCCTGAGAGCCTTTGGGGAAGAGTGAGACTTTCTGCTGTCTGAGGGCAAGGTCTGCCTTTGAACTGAGATCTAGGTAGCCCCACGACTACTCTGATAATCAGCTTCTCCATGGTGCATTTCTGTCCAGCTGCAGGGCCAGTTGGACTGCATTTCACCTATTTGATGACTGTCACTGTGAAACAGAAAGGACTCATGTCTCAGCAGCTGGTCATGTTTAACATACACTGTGTTCTAATGCTTTCAAAAGATTTTACTGTAAGATTTTGTTCCATAAGGTAACAGAAAGCCAAGAGATTTTATCTCCATTTAGGAGGGGAAGGTGTTTTCAAAGTTATTTTTCATAACTGTGTATCAGAAATTCATCAGTCTGGGCAGCTTTTCTGTTTAGTTGTATAACTAAAGGGAATATTTGAGGCATATTTGACCAGCTTTTTCAGCAGTTTTCTGGGAGGCAACACACACATGACACAAGAACTATTTCCATTTGAGTTTGCCATCAGTTTGAAGATCCAAAGCCAGATACACAAAAATAGATGAGGCATTTACAGATGCACCACACATTCCAGAAATACAGCCGTGCTGTGTAGGGCACAAAGAAATGCAGCTTGGTGCTCTGCACGGGCTGCTTCCCTGAGAAAGCTATAGATGGCTTGTAGATTACTAAGGGGTTAGTAAAATGTGATAATCCCAGATACACCAGGAATGTTTTGGTTTTTTTCTCAGTGGACTTTTTCTCCTGAAGGGCCAAATAGGCTGACAGTTTGATATCTCCATTGCAATTGCAGCAAGTATTTTGCAGTGCATAGGCTGTTCCTTGTGGAACATTTTTAACGCTGTCAGAGGCACAAAAGAGCACTGTGGCTGGACTGTTTGCAGTACAGGTCTGTCACTGCAGTTTATATCTACTTGTAAATTTTTAAAATCTAATACTTTTGGAAGTCTTTGGAATAAAGAAATACTGATGTGAGAAAGTCTGCTTAGTAGCTCTCTCACTAGAAACACAAAGTGCAAACCAAGGAAAATCATGTCAGTTTTAACATTGGACACAAGAGGAAAAAATTGACTTAGAGAGAGGGGTAACTGTATTTCTTTATCTCAAGGATATCTATATTGTTTGGAAAAAGTTTCTTACAATCCATTATACCTACTTATTCTTGGTATTTATTTTAATATATTCCACTCCTATTTTATACACAATTGCTTAATACTTGCTTAACTTTATTATGACTCAGGCCAATGAGTAATAAAAAATTACACACTTGAATCTCCCTATTTTTTTTTTGAAAAATACCTAAAAGAAAAAGATACAGCTTTTGCAGGATAGAGTGGAAATCCTCAGGGAGCACTGTTCTGATAATAGAGTTATTGTTCTTAGTCATTATATATCAGCTTTGAAACTTGATTGAAATATTTAAATATGCAATTAAGTGACCTCAATGTCTCAATGTTAGGCATAACAGTACAAATGTTAACATTCTTAGGCATGAAATATAAGTCACTCCCTACTGTTGATGGTATTTTTATTCTAACAAATAAAATCTTTTTATTCTCTGAAGGCTTCCTTGAACAAGGCTTGCTAGTTCAGGATGAGAAGAAATTACGAGAACATTATACCAAAACTACGCAGTTCAAACTGGACGTGCTGTCTCTTGTGCCAACAGACCTGGCATATTTCAAGCTTGGTTTGAACTACCCCGAGCTCCGATTTAACCGCTTGCTGAGGATTGCTCGGCTCTTTGAGTTTTTTGACCGTACTGAGACCAGGACAAATTATCCAAACATGTTCCGTATTGGCAATCTTGTGTTATACATTCTTATCATCATCCACTGGAACGCGTGCATATACTTTGCGATATCGAAGGTGATCGGGTTTGGAACCGACACCTGGGTGTATCCCAACGTGTCCGTTCCGGAGTACGCGCGCCTGTCCAGGAAATACATTTACAGCCTGTACTGGTCAACGCTCACGCTGACCACCATTGGAGAAACACCGCCCCCAGTGAAGGATGAGGAGTATCTCTTTGTGGTCATCGACTTCCTGGTGGGAGTGCTCATCTTTGCCACCATTGTCGGTAACGTCGGCTCCATGATTTCCAACATGAATGCTTCCAGGGCGGAGTTCCAGGCCAAAGTGGATTCCATTAAACAGTACATGCAATTCCGAAAAGTGACTAAGGATTTGGAAGCCAGGGTTATTAAGTGGTTTGATTACCTCTGGACCAACAAGAAAACAGTGGATGAGAAGGAAGTTCTCAAAAATCTGCCTGACAAGTTGAAGGCTGAAATTGCCATCAATGTCCATTTGGACACACTGAGGAAAGTGCGTATATTCCAGGATTGTGAAGCTGGACTTCTCATTGAGCTGGTGCTGAAACTGAAACCTACAGTCTTCAGTCCTGGTGACTACATTTGTAAAAAAGGAGATATTGGAAGAGAAATGTACATTATTAAAGAAGGAAAATTGGCTGTGGTGGCAGATGATGGCATAACCCAATTTGTAGTCCTAAGCGATGGCAGCTACTTTGGTGAAATCAGCATCCTAAACATTAAAGGTAGCAAATCTGGCAACAGGAGGACAGCCAACATCAGGAGTATTGGTTATTCTGATTTGTTCTGCTTGTCTAAGGATGATTTAATGGAAGCTCTCACAGAATATCCAGAAGCCAAAAAGGCTCTGGAAGAGAAAGGACGTCAAATTCTGATGAAAGACAATTTAATTGATGAGGAGGCAGCAAAAGCAGGAGCTGACCCAAAAGACTTGGAAGAAAAAATAGGGCGACTTGAAGTAGCTCTGGATACACTGCAGACTAGGTTTGCGAGGCTCTTGGCAGAATACAGCGCATCTCAACAAAAGGTGAAACAGAGACTTGCCAGAGTAGAAACCCGAGTAAAAAAATATGGTAGTGGCAGCTTATCAGTTGCAGAAGCAGAGGGTGAAAAACCTGAGGAGGAGAAAAAGCAGTAATGGAATATTTATATTTCCTCATTTATTGGGAAAGGTTGAAGCACTGAAAGCCATAAATGTATGTAAATATGTGTGTGCATACATAGACATAATTATTTTTATATGAACTCAAGAGAATGGTTTTTAGCATTTTTAACTGAAGAAGTATTTTCTTGTAAATAGAACACTATTACCTTCTTCTTGGGGGGAGATTTGGTCCAGCACTTGGTACTTTTTTGTACTGAGGGTGGGCTTCTTCCAAGTCATGCTCAGAATGTCTGTTGTGTTTGGTACCTGTAGGTCTTGACACACTGTCTCTTCCTGCGCATTGTGTGCTAAGAAGGCATTGTACTTGAACTAGAAGAGATTATTTTTTTTCCTTTTTAAGAGCTTAAAAAATGTTGTTAGGGTACCCTGCTATAACTTGCTACTTTAGTAGCTGATTAAATGTGTGGATGGATGTCTGCATTTCTCAAAATCTTTGTTCTTTCACAGTCTGTGCAAACAGTTGAATGACAGCTAAGCAGTGTCAAGTACCTGGCCATTGCAGTGCACCCTGCATGTGTCTGCAATAGCTGTGCATTCAGATCTTTAGTCTGATTCTCTGTAATGAACTGGGCTCTGCACAAAGGACCATGTTGACAGAGTAGCAGTGCTCATTCATGTCCCTTCTGGCAGGGTCTGTGACAGCTTTTGCTGCTCTGCAACTGCTTCACCAGGGGAGAGAGCAGGGGATCCTCCCTTACGTTTTTTTTAGCCCAGTTCCATCCGCACTGGTAAAACCCTCACTTGGAAAGGAGTCCCCTAAAGCTCACTGGTGGAAGGGTAATATGGCTTCACCGAACCTGGGAAGAGAAAAGAGGGTCCTGGTATGTGCAGGTCCTATATGTAGGGTGCTGAGTGAACTCCCTGGCAAATGGGCAGTGCCCAGGGAGGCTACTGAGAAATGCCATAAGCTGGCAGGGCAGGCTGTCCCTGCCTGCCAGGCAGCTTGCTCCCACAACAGGGTTTCTGCAAGGCAGGGAGAACAGGTGAGAAACCCTCTGAGAACAGGGTGGTTTAGCTGGGTGGTAGTGGAATGAAAAGAGACAGTTTTGCTAAACTGCTCAGAGTAAGTCCTCGTCTCCAGCCAAGCAGCTGTTCCCTTCTATCGACACTTCTGAGCCTGGTGAGGGAGACAAATCTGTCCATGATTAAGGAATAGGGCTTTGCCAGCAACACTGGCAAAGGGACAACTGGGTAGTAATGTCCACACATGGCCCTTGTCTAAACTCCTGTTATCATTAGCCTAGAAGCCAACTGCACTTATGGATCTTCCCTAGATTGGACTTAACCTCTATTATCAAAATAGCCACTGATTGTAACAAGTGATTTGGAAAGTAGCCAAGATCTGTTTTGGCCAGTGGCACTCAGAAGTATTGGTCCATCAGCTGCATCTTGTCCTTATTTTCTTTAAGGGCTTGAGAGAAATGGGGGAGCTCTGAGAGGCTGGTTTTGGCAGGGGTGTAGAGCCCTTGGTCCCACGCAGAGGCAGGCAGCTCCACTCTGGGCTCACTGCAGGGTACCCCTGTGAGCACAGACAACACAGTCACAGGCTGTTCAACTTGTAACTTTCACCTCCTGACAGAGGCGGGTACCACACTCACCTTGGCTGACATTCACTGCTGTGTGACTCAAACCCACTGTACCTGGTAGGGGTTTCATGCATATTGACATGTTCTCCATCAGTCATCATTCTCTGTAATTACCTATCTACCCAACATAGCACAGCTGTTCCAGCCCACTAGGTATATATGAGTAAAACTTTAAAGTACTCTTTGTACCGAATTTATACCAGGTTTAAAAACCCTAAAAACCACAGGACTGCTTCTTTACCTGATGGATTAGAACAGCCTAATCTATCAGTTAAATACATGTTTGCTGTTCCCTTTCTGTGCCTCTTGATCTGGTTTTCATATGCCAGAAAAGAGCATTTTGATACAATTGGCTTCAGTCACTTGGAAACATACAGCTTCTGGCATGATGAAATCACATCCTTTGGCGTCTTTCATCTCTGTAAGATGTTTTTTCCTCTTCTTTAATGTGGCTACACATGTACATTAAAATATTTTGAGTAATGTTCAAGCAACTCTGTGTTTTCTCTTACCCATATCCCTCTAGATTTTAGTGTTTCATGACAGACTTTGATCATGTCACCATTACGTGACCCAGAAAATCATTAGCTGGAACAGAGATTGGAAGTGACAGAAAACTAAGTGGGAATGGTGGTGTCGCTCACTACAGGGCAGCTGGCACTGAGCTTTGGTCCTGGGCCTAGTTTTGACACCATCCCTGCGTTTGCAGATACAACACAGGCACAAGAGCCTGACCATTTTCCCACTGCCCAAGAGGTGCCAGGTCCCATGTGACACAGAGCCTGTCAGGCTGTTCATGTGCTGCAACCTGTCTCCTTTCTTCCCCTTCCCAGCTCCAAGCAGGGTGGCACAGCAGGGACAGTGGCTTGTCTAGCAGAAATAAGTGTGTGTAGCTTTCTGCTACTTGCACACAGGTCACCTACCAAAAATTGCCTGGCACAGACTGGGCTGGGCTGGTCCTTCAACCCTGCCACAAGAGAAAACAGGGCACAGAGTAGTGCTTGCAGAGCATTTGAACATAGGCCCTGAATCTAGAAATAGGTTTAATGGCCACAACACTCACGTCACATGGGCCTAAGCAGGCAGCCATGAGCTGGCAGTGTTGCTTCAGACTGCCTGTGCTGAGGGAAACACCAGATGGGCAAAGTCTGAGAGGTTTGAACATCTGCTCCACGTGCAGAAGGAGAGAAGAGGTGGTGGAGTGGCACCCCATGCTCCAGCTGCTGCTCAGAGTGAGCTTTTCCATGGTAAGGGCCTCAAGCCATGGACTCTGTACCCTGACAGCAAACGATTTCAGCCTTGATCCTCTCTGAAGTGTTCTCAGTGCTCTCCCTGTCCTTTTACCCTCATCCCCTACTATTATTTTACTTTACAGTTTTTACAGCAGAAAAATGCCCTGGTAAATTCAATGAACTGGCTTCAAAAGCAAGAGTGACACCAAAACAGCTCATGTATTTGTACAGCTGAGGGTTGGGATTTTTTTGACAGCGCAGCATTCTTCAGAAACAGCCCAGGGAAGGGTATAATTGTGCTTTTAAAACTCTTCTCCAAGGCATCGGCTTTAGAGTTTCATTCCTGCCAAATATTTATTAATGTACAATACGAGGGCTCTACATTAAAAACCAAACTGCTTATTGTCCTTTCCCCCACAAAAGCATTAGTGCCTTCTATGAACTTGTCCATGTGTTGCTGGCTTTGTAAGACACTCGTGTCTGTATCACTGCTGGCACCAAGGATGAGATATTCACAGGCCAAACCTAGGCCAGGCTGTCCAGTGAGATGACACAGGTGGACTAAAAGAGAGCTACTCTTCACCCTCAAGATTTGCAAGATGATAGCATTTGCACTTGGCTTCAAGGTCCCCCAGCTCTTCTAATCATGTTTCCAACCTGGAACAAACAGAAAGAATAAAACCCTTGTCTACATAATTCTACATAAATAGAGTATTTGCAAAATCCCCTCATGTATCCCTGAGAGCAAAACGAATTATACACTAAAAGGATCTGGCACCTGTACAGGCAGTTAAAGCGCAAGATTTCAGTTGTGGCAGCTTTCCTGAGGGAAGCCATCAATCTGGGACTCTCCTCCCCAGCCCCATTCATAGCCCAGAGCATGAGAAGGGTGCCTGGTGGGGGAAAACCACACCAGCTCTGAGGAACAAGCTCTAGGGCGGAAGATGGTCAGGCCTTTTGTTTCTGAAATTCATTTTGCAATCATTTCCAGCTCACAAGGACTGAGGCTTGCTGCTGCCAATGGCCCTTGCAGCTTCACTGCGGCAAATACAGATCTGCTGTTCTGTGCTTGCAATCCTCCCCTTTCCACGCCCTAAGAGCAAAGGGAGGAGGAAAAGCTTGCACTCTTGAAGCAGTTATTCAAGGATGAACACAAACATTAGCTTTACTCCAGAAGCAGCAGCAGTTCCTCACAGATTTCCTTCATCAGAAGCTGGGAGATCACCTGGGCTCCTGTAAGGAGAGTACAGGTTGCAGTGCCAATGGCTCAGCTTCCATGGGCTGTCTTCCCAAGAGGCTGAGGACACTAGCCAGCTCTAACAGAGACCTGTACAGGTAAATCAGGTGTAGAGTACTAAAACCAGAAGTGCAGAAACATGGAAGGAATTTACTAATGGATGCTATTCAATTTTTCTTTCCTTTGCATTTGTGGTGCCTGGTACCAGCCTTTCTGTAAGAGGGCAACTGAAGAACACTAACAGAAAATCAGGCAGAGCACAGCTGTATTCTAGAGCAATGGGCAGCTTGATGAATAGCTATTAATTTCTTTGCTTCTTGTCTGTTTTGATATATCATTTCTTTAGCTTGCTGACAAGGAAAAAACCCCACACCATCCTGTTCTTATTGCCAACAGTTATATCCCCTCATTGCCCTGGAAGAGGAACCACCCCAGAGTGGTCACACCTGAACAGCCCCTTCAGGTGAGTAGCATGGCAAGAACCCACAGGCACTACTTGCTTTTCCAGAGAAGGAGACAGAGAAGCACAAACCCGTTTTCTTTGTGTAGCCTGCCTGCAGGGCTGATGAATCAAACCAACCATGCTGTAAAGATCCTAATCAAAGTACAAATATTTTACATGCAGAATAGTGCAGATAATTAATCCAACTTGCTGCAATGGGATTCCCACTGTTTTCGGATTACTTGTAGATTCAGGCTGTTTAAAGCAAGTCCTCAGGCTGCTTGTTCACAGGTCCAGTGGCTGGCACAGGAAAGCCTCTCTTAGAGCAGCAGCTTTGGGTACTATCAGTGAAGGAAATGATCCAGAGGTGGGAATTTTAAGTTCTGACTATTGAAAACCCAGTTCCTCATCTCCTTGCAATAAAATCTGCCTCTGGCCACGCTTGCATCAAGGTTAGGAAAAAAGCTTATGTGTAGCAGCACAAAGCTGCAGAGCTTTTCTAGCAAAGCACCTCTTGCCTTTCCCAACACATTGGTTGCCTTCACAGCTCATTTATCCTGTCAGCCACAGCCAGGCTTCTCCTTGTATGGTTCAGCCTGAGCACTGACAGCACAGGGAAGGCTCATGGCTCAGAGCAGATTGACAGAGGAGCTGCCCCAAGCAGAAACTCTCGCAATTCAGGGCTTCAAGGCTGACAGTTTCATTGCCATAACCTGACTGCACTAGCTGTGAGCACTGGCAGCCCAAGAAGGGTGAGTGTGGTGAGGAAGAAATGAAGCAGGAAAAGAGCCATGCAGCACCTCCGGGCAGCTGGTGGCAGTTCGAAATTACAGCCAGGAGCAGGGGTGACAGATGTGCTGGGCAAGGGAGACACCTCAAGCTCAGCTTCCTGCCACTGGGGAACGGAGGCTGGTACAGAAGGGATGCTGCAATCTGGAGCCAGAGAAAGCAGACAGGGGAGCCTCTGCAGAGTTTTCTAAACTGATTTACACTGGTGGCCAGAAGAGGCTCAAGCCAGACCAATGGGTGACAGGAATGACTCCAGAAGGGCATGTTCCCCCTCTCCAGCCACTGCCATACTGAGGGCAAACCTTTTGTGCAGCACAATAGTGCTGCCTGCTCCATATAGGGTTTAGTCCTACACAGCTTCACTCTTACTTGGGCAGGGCAAAGGGAAAATTTCAGAGCAAACTCAGGAGGTGCTGAGACCAACTGATGCCATCGGCCACTAGGACACCCCAGAGGCTGCAATCATCCTCGGGATCCAAGATTCCCTGAGGAAAGGTAAAAACCAGCAGTATTACTGCTGGAGGCTCCTACCTTGCAGATGCCAGGAAAAAACTGCCCTAAGAGCCTGTTTTTCCACTCACTGATCTGCAGCAGTGAAGCTTAGAGGAAGCAGGCAAATCATTGCCACCAGCTGCCCCCAGTGCCACTGCTGGGCTGCAGCAGGACACACTGTCCAAAAGCACTGGCTCCAGGCCAGTCCATGGGCTGCAGGAGAAGGCAAGAGCACAAAAGAGAAAGAAGGGACTAATCCATCCTCT